TAAAACGTCCCGCTGATAACATTCCTAGAACAATGAATGGTTACATTCTCAGAAGTTTTTTAGAACCAAAAATGTCTAGCTGGGAACTCAGACATGCCACCGCAAACATGCAATATCTGCTTCCAGCTTATCATGAATTACTGCTTGTTGTTTTTTTTCAAAAGGAAAATATGGTGACATCAGATTTTCAAACAAATGCAACAAGTTTGTTTTTTAAAGCGCTGTAGAAATAATTCTGACGTTGACCATGACCGTGTTAATATTTGCCATCACAGGAACGTTTTATAAAAAAATAATAACCTCCTGAAAACATTATCCGAATGTTGCTTATAAAATGTTCTTCTTTTCTTATCATGTAACATTGAGGGAATGTTTTTATAAAAGAATATCTTTAATCTCTTACCTCAACAACGTCCAAAAAACATCCTTAGAATGTTGCAGGCAAAACGTTCCACCTTTGTTAACATATCACTGTTGGGGGAAACTTCTGAAGCAATTGGAGTCAGGACTCAAAGAGACACGAGGAGAGCTGGAGCTTTGTTGGCAAACACTGACGGTTTATTTGGAGCTTCGGCCGGAGAATTCACAAGACAAGTCAAGAGCCAGAGGTCTGACTTCACGGGAGTTGCCACAATCAATTCTGAATAACTCTACCCCAGACCCATGTATTTAGCCAGTTCAGAGAGAATAATCAACATTGTGCATAACAAGATAGAATCATAACAACTCCTATATCAGCTGACGCCAACAGGCAGGAACAGGGAGACAAAACACTGAGAGCACAGCAGCCAAGGTTGCAGGTGGGTGTGCTCAGTCAGGACAGTCGGAACTGATAAACTAGGTCAAAGTTATTAGCCTTGGAAAATATGTAATACTCTTTCTAATTACATTAACAATGATGCTGTAGTGTTCAAGAGTCACTGTCATGATAGTGTGAGAGTGAGCCAGCATGCAAACTACCAAGACTCATTGTTATTCATATTTTTATAAATTTAGCATATGAACCTTCTAATGAGAAATGTCAAAATGTATTTTGATAAAAAGGCCTTTTGCTTTAAAATAACATGAAATGCTGCAGCATTACCTTAATTGAACGCAGTACAAGTAGCCAATACTTAAAAAATACTTAAATATGCCATTACAACCACATTTTATTTATAATCCTTTTATCCAATAACAACTATAAAGATAAGCTTGAAGAAAAGTGCCATCTAGTGTCCGATTATTAAAAGTTATTTTACTGGATAATTATGAGAGATTTGTTATGTTTAAGTAGCGGTTACTGTTGCAGTTATTACAGGTGTTATTAATCTAACTACGGTTTGGAAGAATATGAAGAATATTTTCTACAACCTTTTATTTTGTATGTGAATTCACGATTTGAAAACAAAGTCACTTTCTGTCTATTGAATGTTGAAGAGAAACAAGTATTACAAATATAGAGCAAATATCTCACTGTTCAGAACAAAGTGCAGTCCTTGATTATGTACTGAGTTACTTTCCACTAATTTATTTTGAGATCCCCATCTTGTATCCTGTTAAGTAATTCAGTGTCAGAGATAATTTGTTTTCCCACCAGCTCTCCACAGCAGATGGAAAACAACACATTGAGGACGATAAACGGAGGCAGTTACAGTCTTTTCTCCTGTTGCTCTAATCAAAGCATACAGACATGAGAAAGTTGGCACAATTTGAGAAAGCCTGTCACTCTATGTGTCATAAAGACATCCTCAGGCCTTGCGACAGTTTCATTCAGGTTAAAAAAGGCAAAACAACTCATTACATATCACCTCATTAATTAAGAGACTGGATTATTATTTATATTCTTCCAGGAGGAAGGATATAAATAATTTATTATTATTATTATTATTATTCATTATTATTAACGATTTATAAATACCAATTTAAGTCAGAAATAGGAGTGAAGGCTCACTCCAAGATTCTGGTTTTGATCATCGATGACTCAGATGCAAGGGAGGCACCTGTCATTATGTTGCCCACACACACACACACACACACACACACACACACACACACACACACACACACACACACACACACACACACACACACACACACACACACACACACACACACACACACACACACACACACACACACACACACACACACACACACACACACATTCTCCAATTAACATCATGCAGTTGCCTATAGTTTTTCTGGGCTAACTTTGTCGGCTGTTGAGGGGGTTGTTGTATCCCTGTTATCAGGTTTAAACCCTGCCAGAGCCCATCCTGCCCAGTGTGAAACCTCTCAACCACTATCAGCAACAACATGGCAACTGCTACCCAGAATGCGTATGACTGGAGATGGGAAACTTTCCTCTGAGACGGCTGTGAATCCAACAAGTCAGACTAAGTAGGATTTTCTTAAATAAAGCTAGAGTTAAACAAAAATAAAACCAAAGACATACATTTACTAAAACATATTAAGCTTCATGACAAAAAGTACACGCCACAAATATAAGACTTGGATATATCTAAAATAAATACATGTAAAACTCTCACTCGCATTTGTGATTCCGATCCTCCATTACACGGATACTACATTCAGCTTTCCGCTCATTTAGCTTTATGGGTGCTATTGCTACACTGTTGATTGAGATAATGATAAGAGGCCCACACTAATAATGGCATTATCTGTAATGTGTTTAGCTTTTAACTTTTAAGTCCAGCATAAAATCAGCAACAAATTACAAAAAAATTAAAGAAGAGTGTAAAAATATTTGATCAATTCATCAATGAAAACAAATGATGTTTCCTGGAAAGGGGGTATATGCAACGTGTTTACTGTAGCAGGCTGAACACCAAATGATGTAATTATAATGGATTAACTCAATTTGGCACATACGATTATCCACAGAGTAGATGTTTTATCAAATACATTTTAAGTGTTAGTCGTATTTAAGTCCAGGTTCTATTTTTTAGGAATATTTTTAATGAAAATATAGCACTCTGTTGAAAAGTGTCATTGCTTTTCAATAGCTTCAATGTGTGAGCTTATTACTTTTACTAATGTGTCATGAATTGATTTTACAAAAAAATTCAATTGAAGATCATTTCAGTTTCTTCCATGTCATGTGACTAATTTACTCATAACAGACATTATTGACTTACAAAATAAAACACACCTCTTTTTATGTGATTGTAGTTCTTCTATTGTATTTGAATATTTTAATGAATATTCAGCTGCTTTTTATTTCAAAGTCTTGATTTTTTTCAATAGCTTTTGTCATGTGACTCCAAATCAATGCAGCATTGTATTACAACACTAGAAGGATGTAGTTCTGGTCTAAAAAATAAAACAACCTCTTATTAAATTGCATTTTCTGCACCCTCTGTTTAAAAAAAAAGGTAGTTGCTTGTACATGCATGTTGTTTGTCATTATAGTTTTATATGAGGAAGAGTAAGGATACAAACATAATCATTCTGTTTGCTATACTTATTTACAAAGATTCATTTAATTTGGTGCATCACAATGAATAATATACATATTTAAAGTGACATTTCAACAACATTACTACCTATTCAGTCTTGACCCTCAAAATACAGTCAACCTAAAGCATAAACTTAATGATACAAAAAAAGATACACATTTCCCTTTTTTCATAAAAAAACGGAATCCTTCATTACTCTCAGTCCTTCTATTGAAATATAAAAAAATACTGGAAACATTAGACATCATATCTTTGATACAACCAACAGGAAAAATAAAAAACATGTATCCAGGAGAATGTGGTGAATGCGCTTTGAATGCACATTGCTGCCATTTGAAATGCATTTTCAAGCATGATACAAATATTACCGGTATTAACCATTAAACAAACGGAATGGTTATAATTGCATTTTAGAGTCTCATTTTACAGACTTTAAGAGGAGGCACTGATGGCTCGCTGGGAGGCGAGACTTCTACAGTGCAGGAGCACAGAGAGAGGATGGATGAAGGCGAGCAGGCTGAGCAGCGCCAGACCAATGTTCACCTGCAGACACATGGGGGGAGAGAGGAAGTGGAGCGAGAGAAACAATCATAGATTAAGATGGTTATAAAGTGAGAAGGATCAGAGAAAAGTTTACAGTATTAGTTATTTATTGTTTACTCACATATAAAGGATCTCCACCCAGAGGTCCATTCACCAAGGCAAAGAATGGATATTGCAGCACAGAAAACACTGCAGACAGAGCCATGACCAGACCATACAGTTTCCCAAAGTGGCAGGACGGGAAACTACACACACACACATCGTGATGTCATGGAAATAAAAAGGAAGTAGTGAAAAAGACATAGAAAAAGGGACGTTTATTCGTAAAAACAACCACTTTATGTTCACCAACTAAGTATAAACATACAGTAAGTAACAGATTATAATGTTATTATGAGAAGAAATAAGAATGCGTTAGTGCAATGTAGTCCACAAAGAGGTATGAGCACCTTTGTATATTTGTGTATGTTAGATACTCACGCCACACTGAGGAAAGCTGCGTTGCCGCCATAGAGGAAGGAGCGGTTGAGCACCTGAAGGATGAAGGTGAGGTACTGAAGCGGCAGGTATGGGGTGGCGGCACAAACCGAGAACAACACACACTGCAGCGCCGTAAGGAAGAGAGAAAGTATGGAGGCACGCAGGTCCGCTTCCTGTTCACTTTCTCCTACAAACAGACACACGCACAAAAGAAAACAGTTGTATTTGCTTGCACAGTCATTTGTATAGCTAACAAAGAAGGAACATGAGGTTGGGATTCAGTGCATTTTAACTGCTGTTTATCCACTACGGTTAATAATGGGACTAGTAATGATCGCCCTGAGAGCACACTTGGGACACTCTGATTATGTCTGCAATGACTGAGGACTGTTTGGTTCATTAATAGTTGTTAAAAGCATTAGTGTGTTACCTGCAGCACGAGGTTTGCCCTTGTGTCTGTCAAAGATGAGGCCGTTCCATGGAGCACACAGCACGCCACACAGCTGTGTTATAGCAAAGGCATTGATGTACCGGCTCACTGCGAGATACACAAGCCAGACAACATGGTTAGAGACTAAATACTTTAACATACAGTTCAACAAATCTGCGATAACAGTTAGTACTCATTTAACTTAATGGACCTAATAAAGAAACTTTGTACAAATGGATCTTTGCTAGGACAGTCAGACATGTTGTGGTTTTTGTGTGTGTTTACCCAATGAAGGCTCTCCCTCTGTCAGTCTCTGCAGCATGGGGTTGAGGGTGCCGATGAAGAGGTAATGTCTGAGCTGCATCACTGACAGCCACAGCAGGTGGAGGACAAAGAGCCTCGACATCAAACACTCACGAAAACTCTTCTCTGAGGGAGACCACAAGAGAGTAGAGAGTAAAGAAAAAAAGACAAAGTGAAATAGGATATTTGAATGTGTTTTTCTGTTATCTTTGACAATATATTAATTAGGGCAACATTAAAAGGAACAAACCTTGTTTCACCGGATCGTCTGTGTTCAGGGGACTTTCCTCTCTCATCTTCTGAGCGTTAACATTATCTTTTGTCTGCTCTAAGCTCAGAGTCTTTGATTTTCCACAGGTTATCCTAAGAAAGGTCAAAGGTCACATTTAGTCAGACACAGACTGTGGCCATTTTGAAGGTTTTATGATAAATATTTACTTTGCAAATGACATTATTATGTTATAACCCGCAATAATCACAAAACAGGATATGAAGGATATTACTTAGGAATGTTGGATAATGATGCGAAAATGAACTGTGCCAGTAAGATTCAAAGCATATGTTGTTACTGAAAGAAATGTGATTACCTCAATTTATTGTTTGACTTGAAATATAAACTGGGTTTATTCATCATTAACCATTTTCTTTGGAAAAGGAAAGTTAAATGTTTTAATGTTTTTTATAGATTTTCTGAAAAATATGCACATATCTGTAAAATAGTTTGAATTGTTTTTTACTCAGACCTAATTTCCTGTCACACCCAATACAGCTTTTTCTTGCTTAACTGTATAGTAGAGTTCTAGCAAAGAGCCAAAGCACGTCAATATTCAAACTTTTTTTTAAATATTTGAAACAAAAAGATACATTCATGGATTTATATTCTTGGTTTCACTTGATGCACTTATGAAGAACACATGCAATGTTTGTATTGGTATCTGTACCCGTATGTGTATTCATCCGGCAGTGGGTAGGGAATGTGTTTTCTGGGCAGCAGGAAGAAAGTCCTGAGCAGGTGAAGGACGCTGCAGGCGCACAGGAAGAGGAAGGAGGCTCGCAGAGAGACGCCCGCCTCGTGCAACAGCTGACAGAGACAACAAGATCATTGACACAGAGATGGTATAAAACATTTTCATTAATGAGACCATAGTGTTCCTTTTCTCACCTTGATGACAAGGAAAAGTGCTGATGAAGAGTCGAACGCCCCGTTATAGAGAGTAATGATGGTCGAGCGACGGGAGCCAAACAGGTTTCCAACCTTTAAGAGAGAAGTTTGAATTAATTAAAACAGAGGTGTGTCATGTTTAAGTCTCTGCTTTTTTTCCTTTCGTGTTTCCTTTTCTTTCATTCAATGTTAAAACTAGTTATTGCCGGCCGAGTTGAATTGCCTGTGTGATCATGAAGATGTGGTATTATCACTGTTTCCCTGGAAGAGCTTGCTATTTATTTCCCCACAAGATCATGAGCTTAGTCTGAGAACCACCTTGCAGTCAACATAAGTGAAGGTAGAGCCTTGTTTTTTAGATGTGGATCAAATCTTTGTGCTTCCTAAAAAAGCTCTCACAACCAGTTTTGTCAGTCTCAGCTTTCAAACATAGTCCTAGTTCGATTAAGAGCTGCTGTTTTCGCTGATCATATGGATTGATTCTCAGGGCAAACTTAAGGAGTTGCTGCTGTTCTCTGTTATATATATATATATATATATATAATTGTAAAATAAATCATATTATAAGAGGGTTTCAGACTCTTTGCTGAATAAAAAAGCTATTTTAATACGTCAACTCGCCCTGAGGAATTGTGAAGGGCAGTTTTTACAATTTTCCGACATTAAATGAAGAACATAAAAAAGAATTAAGATTAATTAAAGCAACAATTATCTTTTTAATGTTTATATTCTGTGTGAGTGCTCCAGTACCTGCATGTTGGTCAATAAAAACAAGATGCCTCCTACTGCCAGGAGTGAAATAGCTGGAAAGAGGAGGTTGGAGAAAGCTGATAGGAAAAAAAAAAGATTAATAAATATAAGTGTCCACAGATGTAACACCTAACTATTAGAATAATACGGTGACACACAGGAATGTTTTTTACCTGCAGTGGACAAAGCCAACATCAAGGAACCCAGGGTATAAAGACAGCTGGAGGGAGAAGAAATGTCAGTGTTATTGAGTCATGTTATTGGCTTGATGGGGTCTTAACAGAAACATGGCTAGATATAATGGTCATGTAAATGTTTTCAAGCCCTGTTATACTCATTTTCAGGTTCATATTTGTGTTGGAGCGCCAGCCAATAGAAGTGCAAGTGTTACATAGTGATGTCACTGAAGTTAACAAAGGAGTCCAATGGAGTTGTTTCAGGCAGTTCACTTTCCCTCTAAAGTGAACTGTGAGATTTTAGCCTATGCAAACCACACCAAAACCTATATAACACACTACAGGAATGTGTAGACACAAAAAAGCATAATAGGGCCTCTGTGTCAACACAATTAAAAATAAATATTTGAGATGGGAAATTGTTCTGGAATAGAAATCAACACACTTTCAGTGAACAACATTAAACAAGCTTTCAAACGCAGGTTCTTTTTCTGCTGCTGTTTGAAGAAATGTAATGTCCTTTATTTGGTACATCCAAGATCTTCCCTACTCTCAACCTGACACAACTTGTCCAGCCATTTGCATTCCTTGACTTTTCATTTTCCTTCCACCCTCCTTTAGTGGAAACATATGGATGTCCTTAGTGCTCGTTTGTTATTGTGGATTTAGATATATCTGAGGCAACAAACTGGGCAGGAATGTGTGTGTGTGTGTGTGTGTGTGTGTGTGTGTGTGTGTGTGTGTGTGTGTGTGTGTGTGTGTGTGTGTGTGTGTGTGTGTGTGACGGACACGACGGA